TTTCAAACGGATAGATCACTTCGTTCGCCTCGCATATCTCGCAAATAAATCCCTTCTGTCGACATAACGAGCAATGCATAACGTGATCCACGGCATGTTTCAAGAATCCACGCACTTGCTTCTCTAGTTGTCCATTATGTAGGAGAAGCAGATCCTAAACATCCGAATAAAGAAGTGTAAAACAGGAAATAATGCATCAAAGCACTTACGCTAATGGAATAAGCGTGGATGTCATTGTAGAGATGTTCTCGTGGCCATACTCTTCTGCGGAAGTCATCAGCTATGGATTCACGGCAGTTGAAGAGATACATGGAGGCAATTTGAAGCTGTTCTCGAAGCATCTGCAAAATTACACAAGAATTTAAAAGCAAAAATCATGCTCAGTGCTGCCTAGTCGCATTATGACGTAGACAAAGTACGTAAATGGCTGCAGTGTTAGTGCCCCTAAGGCGTTATAAAGCAGGGTTTTCTCCATACGAAAGCACAATAGCATAGAATAGCGTACTTTTTCAGTATCTGCTTCTATCAACAAAAACTAAATCCAACCTTCATTGTCCTCAACATCGGCACATGGTCGTAAAGTGTGGGATTATGTTGGTCGATGCGTATAACAGGGGTATCCTAGAAAAACTGGTTACTTTGTATGGCATATATTGATTATATTTATTTCAACATCATTTGATAAGCTGAGCCATAGTTGATCCACTTGTTCCATTCGATCCACTTCACTATTGGTCAAATCAAAGAACCGAGTAGAGACTATATGTTGCCGAAAGTGGGAGGGTCCCGCGCGAACAATGCAGCAGATACTCAGCCCCTGTGCATGGGAGCGTCATTCGTTATAGATGTCCGGTAGGACCTTCGGCGACATGTAGTCCCTTAACCGTGAACCGACCAATAGCGACGCATGTCCGCTTGATCTACTTTGCAGTTGGTCAGTTCACTGATTTGCCCAGTGATGAAGTGGATCAAGTGGATCGACCATGGCTATGCCAATTGCGCAGTTTCTATAATTTGCAATTTTTTTTATAGCTTTCTGTAATTTAGTTGCAAAAGTAAGCTTTTTGTATTGCCTCTCAGTCGTGGTAGTGATTCTACGACCTCCTGCTCCATTGCAGATTGCAAAAGTAGTGCAATCACACAAAACGACTATAGGGATAAAATGTGAACAACTGCTTGTGCAAACCCTCTCACCTGATTTGCTTCAATAAATGCACGTCCTCGATCGGACACCGGACGTGGTTTCCAATCCCAGCTTCGAAGCACACGTGATGGGATGGGCATTTCACCACCGGGGCGCATACAATCAGCACAATAATACAGTCCATCAATACCACAGACACTGAATAATAAAAGTGTTTTAACTAGAAAAACATATTTCGTAAACCTTGCAACTAAATATACATTCGTGCTCGCTACAGCGCTATATTTACATATATAACATACCCAAATTTCGAAAACACAGCTCCAATCGACTTTCGACACATCGGACAACGGAAATCTTGCGCATCAAGACCAAGTTCATGAGGGATGGTGATTATCATTGAGGTGATATGTTCGGCCGCTTCAGATGCTTTTCGAGAAGTCTGAAAAAACCTCACATTATCTCAAAAGCATCAAATTCTCAACTGAGATTCCCAAACTCACTTCTGCTTCATCCTCTTCGGTGTCAGTATTTTCAAGCATGCCTTGAGACTCGTCAAAAACTTCATCAAGCTAAAAAACGATAAAATAACAAAAAAAAAAGTCGGCAACGCTGAGAAAGGACGATAAAATGACAAAAAAATCGGCAAGGAGACTAGGCAAAGCGGAAAAATACAATATTAGCCTTTATGGTGCGACAAACCTTTTCGTTCGATCCGCTAACGTC